ATACAGTTGATTGTAGTTCCTGGGCTCCCTGTGATACAACAACAAAAATAAAAACAAGACGTCCGAATGAAATTGGTAGGGCAAAATTAGATTGTATGTCGCACCAAAGAGCTACGGAACCGCAGCTAACCTTCCATTATTTCTGAAATCGTGCTGCAGTACGATCAACTTTCCGTTTCTTGGTGCTGTCAGGGTTAGGACACCCATGGGTTTCTGGTTCTGAACACGATTTAGCGGTTTCTCCATCTCGTCGTGAAAAATACTCGTCGAGCAGTTGTCTGCTCCTTTTTGACGTAGTCTCCATTTTCAATAAATAAACAAATCACGTGTTTGATAAGGGCGACATGAAACCGTCCCATACTGAGAGTAAAGTTGCGGGGTATCTTGAAACACATGTCGACTAAACTATGCATGTGCGATGACACCAAAATAAATTTAGAGTGGGAAAAGTACATTCAGTGGCAGTTCCGTGTTGATCGCGATCACCATGTAACAATTGTTGCAATCTTAGAAGTAACGGGACATTGTTAATAAGCAATCACTCAAACCGCAACACGCGTGATGATCACAGTCGAGTCTTGACAATTAAATGAGGGCGATTTGCGAGGGTATTTTGTACAAAATGTGTTCGTAAATCCTACTAATAGATATTTATTTTGTTCGTAAATCTTGTCCAAATTTCGTAATTTACGACATTTGCGAGCGACAGCGAGAGCACAGATGCCTCATTCCCAAGTTCTTTTGCTTTATTAGGGACAGCTTTCAAATAGTCGCGCATGTAAACAGATTCATGTATTGTATACTAGATTTTACATTGTATGCTAGTCAATAAAAACAAATAGTATCTTTCTAAAACTAGAGTAAACTAATTTTTCTACTTTTTGAGCATATTCACGGATTTTTAAAGGGGCACTTTTAGTTAGGCCTAATGTCACAACAAATTTACTTTCTGGATTAAAATTACAATGGATAAACAAAACATAAATTAACATTGTAAACATAGACAATAGTGTCCCATGATTCTTTGGTGCAATCCCTGGGTTTAGAAGGTTTCCCTTTAAGTTAACAAATTTGCTAAGGAAACCACAAGTTCTATTATTTCAATGCTACATGGATTTAATTTATTGAATTTTACTTAGCAAAAAAAACAAAACATTGAATAATTATTGGATTTACTGAAGTTTCATTTTTATACCTCAACATTTGATTACGTTCAACCATTTTTTTTTTTTAACTAATGACAACTGCTTTAATTTTTTCGAAATGGAGAAAATTCTATTGTTAATTTATACACCCAGAAAGTATCTGACATTTAGGTACCAGGATACGTTGTCTTGATATTTTGAAGTGGGACCTTTCACAGTTATGTACATTGAGATATGTCAGTTACCCTTCTGTTGTGGACATGGATAGCTCTCAGGAGCAACTAATCCGATCATGGATAGACCCAAACAGAAATATCCCACATTGAATGAAAAAGTCCTCAAAAGAAAGGAATATTAATACGAAACATGAGAAAATATGAAGTGGAAATTTTAAAAATTTATAGAAAAAAAATACAGAAAAAAATGGATTAAAGTGGGATAATTCTGAAAGTGCCTTGTCTCACCATAACGCATCTGATTTTGTCATCATTGAGCAAGTCCATATTTATCAACAGTGGTAACTATTGACTAGTGCATGTGCGAGTGATGTCTAGCTAAATTTGATTGTTGTCTCGCATTGATCTACAAATTAATGTTTTGTTTGGTGGGGTAAGGCTATCTGCCTCCAACATAGTCCAATCATTTGGGCACAGGAGCTTGAAAGCTCAAACCACTAGTCATGATTTTTCAACATCTTTACATCAATATTATGTTTAGTTTTTTTTACAACACCTGGTTATTCATAAACATTTTCAATTTAATCAAAGCATATTTTTATATATTCCAAATGTTAAACATTAAATTGCCTCTTAAACTGAAAATATTTATTTACAAATTCAACTGCCACAAGACTCGTCTAAAGACCCTTGGATGGTTGACTATTTACAGTTTGAAGAAAAGGTACATACGTTCCCACATCATGTGGATTTATCTTCTAGTTTTCCAATATAAATTGCAGCCATAATTCTATGTCAGAATGTGTCAGCATCTGAACTGACAGCATGCGTTACCTGTACAGGTAAAAACCAAAATTAGTGGAAGAACGTGTACAAAATGAAACATGTCTACGGATGTCAATTTAGCAGACATCAGAAGATGCATATAATGTTGACAGATTCAAAAAAATAAAGCAATAAATAAAGAGTAGATTATAATCTGTTGCAATTGTCCAGTTTACCCCTTGGGTTAAGTCGTAATCAATAGGTAACATCATCGCAACAGTTGATTCAAACCTAAACCGAGTCATAGTTGATTTAAAAATTAAGTGACATTTCTAAGAATACCAGGGTTCTCCCAGTTTTGTTTTAGATAAAAAATTTAGCATAACAATGAATACAATAAAGGCGATTAACTTAGTTATGCAAATTGCTGATACTATTATTCCAAGGATAACACTGAATACTAAATTCCCTACATCTGTGATATGGGAAAATCTGATTATCATTAAAATCCTAATACTAAACTAAGCCCAACCCTATGATATTGACCAAAATGTAGCAATTTAGCATGAGCAAATGTACTGATTAGAAACCCACCCTTGGGTAAGTGGGAACAAATTTGCTGTAGAATTTTGCAAACAAAGGAGACCCTACAAAATTATGTCATTAAACTTTGCAATTTTAGCCTTCATGGAACAACAGTGTCATTGACTATTATATTTACTTTAGTCAGTAAACTTGTGAAAATAGTAGGTCTAAAGTGCTGCATGAAAATGGGTGAATCGAAAAAAAAATTCTTATTATTTTGTATGTGAACAGAAAGACAAACTTGCCATCTATTCTAAGCCATCAAAACGCCTCGCTGGGGGAAGCCGCTCAGTTGCCAACATCGAGCGCGACAACAGCCTGATGCAGTGGTTTGAAAACCAACTGCAAAATTGGAATGGTGCAACCGGGAAGCAGTTACAACATCAAGCACGTAGAGTTTCTGACTGAGTTTTAAAGCTTGGATGGCTGGTTACGTTGTTTCAAGCATCACCATGCGTTGTCATCTCAAGAGAATGTCAATCGGATAGAAATTGACAACAGACTGAATAGAAAATCATGCTCCTTCGTAGTTGCATCATTTGACCCACTTTCTGACATCTGCAATATGGACGAAACACCACTCCGTTTCAACATGCCAGGCAACCGGACACTGGAGCAAGAAGGTGCTAAGACTGCACGTCAAGACAACCAACCAT